ACCACTCTCGTCACGAGTGGCCCGCCATGGCCAAGTCTGGAATCGCACCAATGAGAATCCGCGAACAACTTCCGAACCACCCCAGCACCACCCCAGAACCATCCTAGAACCACGCTGAACCACTTTTGAACCACTCTCGTCACGAGTGGCCCGCCATGGCCAAGTCTGGAATCGCACCAATGAGAATCCGCGATCAACTTCCGAACCACCCCAGCACCACCCCAGAACCATCCTAGAACCACGCGTGAACCACTTTTGAACCACGCGCGTTACTCGGTGGCCCACCATTGGATATTTTGGGAATGCCCACATCGCAATATGGGAACAGGCTTCGAACCACCCCAGCACCACCCCAGAACCATCCTAGAACCACGCGTGAACCACTTTTGAACCACTCGTGCCAAGGCCGTCCGACGTGGCACACGCACGCTGGACCCGCCTTAAGCGATTATCTGCGATCAGGTCGCAGACCACCCCAGCACCCTAGAACCACGCGTGAACCACTTTTGAACCACGTTTGTACAAGCTGGCTCGCCATGGCGCACATTGAAGTCGCTCGACCCAAACTTGCAAACAACTTCCGAACCACCCCAGGACCACACCATAACCATCCTAGAACCACGCGTGAACCACTTTTGAACCACGCGCGTCACGAGTGGCCCGCCATGGCCAAGTCCGGAATCGCCACAATGAGACTCCGCGATCGACTTCCGAACCACCCTAGAACCACCCCAGAACCATCCTAGAACCACCCGTGAACCACTTTTGAACCACGCGCGTCATTCGTGGCCGGCCATGGAACATGTGGGTAATGCTCAAATCGCAATGTGCGAACAGGCTTCGACCCACCCTATAACCACCGTGGAACCATCCTAGAACCACGCGTGAACCACTTTTGAACCACGCGCGTCACAAGTGGCCCGCCATTGAATGTTTGGGGAAAGCCCACATCGCAATATGCGAGCAGGCTTCGAACCACCCCAGAACCACCCCATAACCATCCTAGAACCACGCGTGAACCACTTTTGAACCACGCGTGCCAAACAAATGTTCGCGATGGACAACAATGTTATACTTCGGTTACACTCTGCGACCAATGCGAAAAACCACGCCAGAACCACTCCATAACCATCCTAGAACCACGCGTGAACCACTTTTGAACCACGCGTGTACAGGGCCGTCCGACATGGCCCATCTAGAGACCGATCGGCCGCCATCCAGCTCATATCGCAAGCCGTCCTAACACCACCCTAGAACCATCCTGGAAACACGCTGAACCACTTTTGAACCACGCGTGTACAGGGCGGTGAGACATGGCCAACGTTGGGATCGCCCAAACACCATGTGCGAGAGAATCGCGAACCACTCCAGAACCACTCCAAAACCATCCTAGAACCACGCGTGAACCACTTTTGAACCAAGTGTGCACATGGCCGTCCGACAGAGCCCACATGAAATTCGCTCTACCACCGCCTGCGAACAAGCTTCAAACCACCCAAGAACCACCCCAGAACCATCCTAGAACCACGCGTGAACCATTTTTGAACCACGCGTGTATTGGGCAGTCGGCCGTTGGCAAACTCGAAATTTTGACCACCATTTGGGAACGCTGCGAAAACCACGCCAGAACCACTCCAGAACCATCCTAGAACCACGCGTGAACCACTTTTGAACCACGCGTGTACGTGACCGTCCGACATGACACACATGATGCCTCCCAACCATTGTATGCGAACAATGCTGACACCACGCCAGAACCAGTTCATAACCATCCTAGAACCACGCGTGAACCACTTTTGAACCACGAGCGCACAGGGCAGTCGGCCATGAGCCAATCTTAAATTGTACGGCGACCATGTGCAAATAATGCGCAACCCGCGCCAGAACCCCGTCAGAACCATCCTAGAACCACGCGGCACCATTATTGAATCCACGCGCGTGCAAAGGAAATCATCATGGCCCTTCGTGGGATCACCCGACCGCCATGCGCGAACAAGGCACACACCACGTCAGAAACAACCCGTAGCCATCCTAGAACCATTCGCGGCGCGCTCTGGAACTACAGCAGTCGTCCGTGTGCCGCGCAGTGGCCTTCATAGCGATTACCAAGCCCCTGTCGGTGATCACGCTGCAACGCATGCCAGGCTGATCCAAAGCCAGTTCCGAGCGCGCATGGGCCACCTCTACCTACGCAAGGCCACCGTTGCCAATGACCCACCGCGCTGGTATTCCTCAACGACCACGCGCACACACGCGGTACCCTTTCCAGCGAGATGTTGTAACTATGCGAACGTCGCGCCATCCACCCCTTGACAGCGCAAGGCGCTAGTGGCACGCAACGGCCACCATCCGAATGCGGCGGGCAACAAGCGCAATCGTGGACTGACAGAACGCTGGCCTGCCAAACGCGCGCATTCCAGACGATATCGCGGCGCATGGCGCTGAGAAGATGCGTTCCAGGGAAGTTGACGGACGCGTCGCCATGAATCGTTTGCAACGCACCGCGATGGTCACCTGCGTGGGAATGGGATGGGCCGAACGATAGGATCACTGCTACTTCTCGTGGCGCACAGCCCAAGTGATTGCGCGGCCGTGGCGTAGCTTGACAGCCGCGTTGGTTGGCGATTCCTTGAGCCCGCTCTTGGGGCTCGCCGACGGCGGTTGCCGAGGCCCAGGGCCGCGCGTGCTGCCCCGTGCCGCGCGAAGGGCGCGAACGCCATGGCATCGCCTCGGGTTGGGGGGGGGGGGGGCGCCAACTGCCACCAGGGCGCCGACCAACGCGCCTTGCGGAGCCGATTGCATTTCACAGAAGCCAGCCGAACTGCCCAACGCCCCGTCGCAGGTATTATGGCGATGCCCGCGCGCGGCGGCCGAACTACAACACGTCCGACGCCCGCAGCCTGACAGCCGCCAGATCGGCTGATGCGCCCTTGGCGATCTGGAGAAGCTGCGCAAGAAACCGCCATGCGCTTGTCCATGGCCAAGCGCTGTCGATTTCAGGGCCACGCAAGCCGCGCGCGCGAATGGCCAGCGCGCGACCGCCATGCATGTGCGATGTCTGAAGAAGGGCGCTTGCGCGAGAAGGCGACGCGCGGGCGTGGCGCAGCGGGGCGGGGCAGGCGCGAGGTGGGCTGGAATCGGGGATGGGCAAGGGTGGGCTGGGCGTTGATGGCGGGCGCTAGGAGGGGCGCCACTTGGCAGTCGGGCAGCGCGCGCGGCTTGCGCTACGGCGCGCGCCAAGCGGACGGCTCCACCGCGCGCGCAGCCGCGAGCCCACCCCTGACGCGCTAATGGGCGCGCAAAGCTTTGCGCCAGCTTGATGGTAAGGCGAAGCCGCGCGCGCGCCTTTGAGGCTCATCGCGCAGCGCGCGCGTCGGCGCAGCAGGGGGCGCGCGCGCGCGGTCGCGCGCGCGGCGAACGCTGCGACGCCAGACAGCGCACTTGGCCCTGCTGGCAGGGCGGGGGGGGAGGGTAAAGGGGGGGATGGTTGCGCGTCGTTGGTGGCCGCAATGCGGTTGTGCATTGCGATCCTCGATGCTCACGTGTCCACGATGCAGGGCGCTGGTCGTCGGCGCGAGGGCGCGCGCGGCATTGGGGGATTTCTCGGGCGCGCGCAAGTACTTGCGTCCCCAATTCAAGGAACTGGGCATGACACCGCTAACAACGGAGTCAGACCTTACCGCGCCCTTCGCGGGCGTTCTGCTTCGTGCGCGGCATCCACAATGCCCATGGCGCGAGGCGCGAGGTCGTCCAAGGGGGAATGCGCGATTCTACCAGCGGGCGCCCGCATGCATGCAACGCGGTGCACTGGGCGGCTGCGACACACGCGACGCTGCAATTTGGACGCTCAATTGAGCCAATATCGCACATGACTTGACAGACCCACGCTACGCGCTTGCGCTCCGCGCCCGAAGATTGTCAAATGGGGTAACGCGAGGATTGCGTACCTCGGTCGCGCGCAATGGCATGGCGGCTTCTGTCTGGTCGGCAGGCCAGCGCCGCCAGTATTTCATGCGTTGCCCCATTGATGGTCACCGTCACCCGACCAGTAGTTCCTGCGCGTGTTCCTGCCACGCTTACATGGTGGCCTGCGCATTCGCCTGCAATCGCCCGCTCTGCGCGCTGGCCGCGGGCGTTCGCCTCGACTGGCGCGAATCGGCGATTGCGCTAGTAGAGTGATATTCACGCGCTGACGTTATGGCGCGGTTAGCGCTACGCCCGATCGAAAACGCATTGCTCGCGCGAGCGTGCTGCGAGCGCGTCGTCCGGACTAAAGAATCATCTTGGGGCACCGTTGTCGATCTCCGTCGTATACTATGGACTGCGGGCACATGTAATTTAACCTCGTTGGTTGGACTAGGATATCCGTGGGCAGCAATATAACAGAAACTGCGTTAACTCGCCTCTGCCGCTGTTACGCGGCGCGGACTTACTCCAAAGTTGCGTGGGTAGCGATGGCTGTCCGTTCTTGATATTTCGGAATGTCCGAGGACACGTTCTTATCATTGCTTGTCCGATCCTGAGAATACCCAAGAGACAACGGGGGCATCGGGGTAACAACGCGAGGGGGTCAAAGAGGGTTAACAGGAGGAACACGGGCCGCAAAACTAGAAAACTGATGCCCCCCACTCCCCCCCTCCCCCACTGCAAGGAAGGGGTCGGCACGGTCGCAAGACGGAATATAACAGAGGAGGAGGAGGATGGGGGAGGGGAGTAGGATGGAGGAGGAGAAGGAGGAAGAGGGAGAGGGGAGTAGGAAGAAGAGGAGGACGGGGAGGAGGAGGGGGAGGAGGGGGAGGGAGGGGGCCCTTTTGGGCCAACCACCTAACACGTGGCATTGGTGGCATTGTCTGTGACGCTTCCGGAAGGCCGAGGTTTCTCGCGGCCAGGTCCTGGCACTACGCTCATAGCCATTTTGGCTCCAGGCCAGTCGGCCACCTTGCAGGTCCAGAGGAGCTCTTAGGCCATGCTGGGATATATTTTTCTTCAGCTTTACCTGGATGGCGGATGTTGAGTTTTCTGATCTCAGTGGAGAGGTCCTCTCAGTTGCGTCTGCTTTTACTTCGGCGACCAGGAGGACGAACAGCGGCGGCCCCTCGCGCGACTGCGTTTGCCACCTGTGCGAAGAGACGCTGCCCCTCGACAAAGTTGCGTGGGGAGTTGATTTCTGCCAACCGTGCTTTGCACGGGTCAGGGCGAACCATCGCCGCCTCACGGCCCTTGTCAACGGTAAGTCGGAACTCGCGGATGACAAGCACACCATGATCAACGAGCCCGACGTTTGGAGGAACCAGCCATTTTTCGCTTCGGACGGGCAGAGGGCGCAGCAGAAGGCGCTGGCCCGCGTGGCGGCGAACTTCAACGAGCAGGTGAAGATCGAGCAAGACTTGAACTTGTCTGACAAGGTGGGCCTCACCAAGCGTCGGTACAAGTCGAACAGGACACGAGGGTCTTAAGATGCAAGTGGCCACACGCGTGTGGACCCCTTGCCGTCCCCACACTTTCTGACTCCCGTCGTGGGGTGGCATCGGCGTTCGTGCCGCGTCGTGTCCACTTGCATGTTGAGGCGATCCTGGAAGGAGGGAGGAGTCCGACAACGACCTCGAGTCCGCCGAGCTTTCGGACGACTTCGACGAGCTGCACGGGAAGCAGGAGATTGAGAATGTCCACGACATGACAGACAGCAGCGGGCGCAAGTTGGTCTGGGTACACGAGGCGCCTCGCTTTCGGAGCGTGAGGGGCAAGCAGAAGCTAGAGGGCACCAGGCGCGGTGGTGACTTTGGCGGCGGCGGTCCGAGTGCCTCTGGTGGCGGGCATGCCGCCAGGCTCTCTCGCGGGAGCAGCCGCGATGGAGACGCTGATGATCAGCTTTCCAAGCGGGCTCGGACTGGCAAGACTGGCGGCGGCTCTGCAGGTTCGCATGCGCAGAGCCCCGAGGAGAAGTCTGACGGCGTCAGGTTCCTCGAGCAACGCCAGGCCATCATGCAGACCTTGAAGGACTTGTCTGCCCAGCTTCAGGGGCCAAAGGCTGGAGATGCTCAATCGCGCCTGCCCTCTCAGAGACCTCATACTCGCCCTCCCACACCTCTCACCTCCACGCTCGTCTTCTCCAGATCCAGCTCCCCCAACCTTCTCTACATCTTCCCCTTCCTCGCGATTGAACTTTTCCATAAGGGATTGCAGAAGGGCGTGAAGACCATGCAGGAGGACATCAAGTCTAGGGGTATCGACTCCGAGCTATTGCCTTTCTCGCCCTCGAGTGTATTGGAGGATATCAGCACCGCCATTGCCGACCTCGGCAAGAGCAGCGACATGGCCCAGAAGGTGAAGGCGCACGAGATCACCATCCTGAACGATAATATCAAGTTGATCCAGACCAAAGTGGCGGATGCCAAGAAGAAGAAAGAAGATCTCGGTGAGGCCGTGGACTTCTGCGTCAAGGAGGTCCGCGCGAAGGAGCGGGCGCAGGGACAGAAGGTGTATTGGGCCACGTACACCATCGAGAAGGCGCTGATCAAGGGGGGCTTCGGCAAGATGCACGCCAAGAAATTCAGCAAGGTGATCCACGCCCTCGAGGAAGATGGCGACATCGTGCACCAGTACCCTGGTCCAGGCAGTGATGCCGAGAAGCGCCAAAGCTTCATGGTGCTTGAGATTGGGGAGCCGAAGCAGGAGCTCGATCTGGATGTATTCGGGTACTGGCCTGACGGGCACGAGGCGACCAAAGAGCTCGCCGACAGCTTCTTGCAGTCCCAGGTCGTGAAGGACAAGATCGCCAACATGCGTGATGCTTTGACCAAGAATCCGTCTTGGGCAGGGGCGCTCACCAACGTCGAGGGGGTACCGTTTGAGGAGGGACTCCAGGATCTCTTGGGTAAGCTCCCTACTGGACCTGGGTGTGAGCCTTGGCTGCTCTCAGGTCGGGCCCACTGCTGCCGCCATGGGCCATTGGCCTTCGCGCTGCCTGGCGTCGCCTCGCTGTTGTTCGCGTTTGACAAGGGTGTGCACATTCAGATCAGCGCCATCAGCCCGATCCTCGAGAAGGGATTCACGCTGAAGGAGTACCCGAAGTACTTGGAGTCCAGCGATGGTCAGAGCTACTTGGACAGCTCCGTGTGGACTGTGTACTTGGCGCCGCAGAGCTTCCTCTACCTCCCCATGGGTTTCCTGGTTCACTGGGCGTACCACTCCAGCAACGCTGGCAAGGAGTCGGAGGGCGAGGTGCCAACTCCCAAGGCAAAGGGGAAGGCGGCGAAGAAGGCCGCAGCCAAGAAGGTCGCCAAAGAAGAGACGCCCGCCGACGCAGCGTTCTTGCTCACCGTGCCCGCCTTCACGTCGACGACCAAGATGGAGCCTGGGGTGAAATCCGCTGTGCTGGGTTTCAACGCTGAGGTGATCCGCAGCAAGGGCAAGGATCCGAAGTGGGAGACCAGGGGGATCGCCTTGGAATCGTGCTTCAAGGAGTGAGCTCGACGGCGACAGCATGCTCGTAAGTCTTTCAACTGCGCCGCCCTGTGTGCCTCGTTCGTCTAAGTAGATGCGTTGTGGTTCGGCTTCGCTGATGTTTCTGAGCGCCGAGGGGCGCTGAGACAGCAAGCGCGGCTCCGGAACCACGGAGAAGAATATGTGTTTGAACGCAGTGCACATCCGAGCAACACCAGTCAACAATGAAACGGTGTCTTGGGTCATTGTAAAATCGATTCGGGTCATGTTGAGTCGAATGACATGACAGAACATCGAATGTAACAAACATCGAATGACATGACACCTCGAACAACAACATTGTCCTGGAGAATGCACTGCGCTGCAGCACGCGCAACAGGGCGAGTGATCAGATGGAGTGGTTGTACCAGCTGCATGGAGCCAGCTGAACTAGTTGGGAAAATTGAGTCCAGGGAGTCAGAGGGGAGAGGGAGAGGAGGAGGAGGAGGAGGAGGAGGAGGGGGAGGAGGAGGAGGAGGAGGAAGACCACGATGACAAGGTTAAAGGGGTGGAGGGGGAGGACGACAACGATGAAACGACGGAAGAGGAGGAAGAACAAGTAGGAGGAGGAGGAGGACGACCACGACCAGGAGGAGGAGGAGGAGGAGGAGGAGGAGGAGAACCCTCTCGCCCTCGCCGCGGGGGCCCCGTGCGCCCCTGAACACCGTGGCCGCGCATGCCCACCAGGAGCGGCCCCGTCAGCCGCCATCGTCGCCGCCGCGCGGTCGGCGGCGTCGCCGTCGTCGTCAGCGTCGTCGCCCTTTTTTCACTGGTCCTTCTCCTCCCTCCCACTTTTCACTCCCTCTCGCCCTCTTTCTTTTACCGCTCCTCCATTGTCCTCATGCCGCTGCTCCTCATCAACTCGTCCTCTTCTAGGTTCCTCTGTTCACTCCCTCTTTCATTTACAACCTCACTGCTCAATGCACCTCTGCGTCGACAGGGAAAGGGGCTCCTGGTCACAGTCGCCCAACAATGTAATATACACCCCTCCTCCTTTTCTCATCCTCTTCCCCCCCCTTCTACCTCCCTCCACGTGCTACTAGGTACTGCGACCAGGCAGGAGGGTATCTCACATGGTTGCCTCTAGTTGGAAACACTTGTTTTCATGTGCCCATTTCGCCCACTTTGGTATCGACCGTGGTCGCCCCGAGGTGTGTCAACGCACGTTCGCGCGTCCACGCGGCCCGATCGGTCGCACTGTCTCGTGACGTGTTGCCTTGCACAACCTCGCGTCCACAATGCGTCGATACGATACAATGTCCTGTCCAATGGGCATATTATTGGTGAGCGGCGCTTGTGCGCGAAGTTATCAAAATATTTTGGATCACATGGCAGTGAACTGTATTTTCTTAGAGGATTGCATCCAGATTCTCAGATTTATTTTGGATTGCAACGGGATCCTTAGAAAAAAAACCTCTTGCGCCCCAGGCCTTACAACAATACCATCTTGCGACGACGTCCTGTCTGCGCGCCTTGAATTGCGCTAAGAACCTTCTATCTTTAGGTTTAGCCAGATCGATCCCCCGCGCGGTTGTTGTGGATACACTCCCGCCTCGCAAAATTTCAGGCCTCCCAGATGGTGCCTGGGCAGATGAGACCAGAGGATCGCGCCGCATCGCCGATGCAGCGTCGATGCGGATCGAGGCGGAGCCCTGTTTTCTCAACGCGGACGTCGCCGACGCATCATCGACGTCGCCGATGCATCGGCGATGCATCGGTGATGTGGCGCGATCCTCCGACCCCATCTGCTCGGACCTAGTTAAGGAGGCCTCCTACATTCGCAGTCAGTTTCTCGCCCCCGAAACGGCGAGTTTACCCTAAGAACTGACCGCTCAGCAAAGGCGTGGATCTCGGGGATACCTCTGGGGGGGTATCCACCATGGACGCCCCCCATCGTATATCCCAGTTCTGCTTGAATTTTTCCGAAGTCGAAAATCCAACGAAGTCGGGAATTGGGTCGCCAAACTTCCCATTCAATATTCCATAGATCGGTGCTGACCGCCTCCTGGCGGCGTCTCCAGTGCTACCCCTGGCGCCTTCGCCGCGAGCTAGGGAGGGGGGTGCAGCGCCGATCCGAAAAAGCCGAGCGGACCTCTGGAAGTGTGTGTTTCTGCGTTGTGTTTCTTCTTCTGCCATCTTCGCGTGCCTCGACCGCGACCGGCTTGAAGCCTTTGGCCTGGTGCCCACCAGCGGTGGCGGTGGCGAAAGTGCCTACACCTCCGTGGACTTCGCCCAGGGCACTAGCAGCGGCGCCTCGCCCAAGGACCGCGCCGCCACGCTGAGGGCTCTGTGCGACACCAGCAACCTGCCGAGCGCGTTCTCCAGGCCTGGCCACACGTTTCCCAGGTGCGTCGGCAAGGATGGCGTGCTGGAGCGCGCCAACCGGGCGGAGGCGGTGTACGACCTGTGCCGGCTGGCGAAGCTCGCGGCCGTGGGAGCGATGGCGGAGTTGATGCAGGATGACGGCGAGGCCTTCACGGTGGAGGCTGCGCGGAAGTTTAGCGAGGACTACGGCATCCTCGGAGGCCTAGAGGTGGACACCGACACCAATACGGGCGATGTGCCTCCACATGTGGAAAAGGATCCCGATTTCGGTGACGGTGGTGAGATTCGGGCCTCAGGGGTGGCCGAAAGGCCGAAAGATTACCACCAACACCAAAATCTAGGACCACCTTCCCCTGGTGGAGGCAGCCCTCAGTGTTGGTGTCTGTGCCCACCTCTGAGCCTCCAACATCCCGTTTGTCACCGCCGACCAGTTGCGGTCGTTCCGGTGCAGTAGCGAGGGGCCGGTGGAGGTGCGGAACCACGCCCCGCCCGTTCGGGACGCGGAGAGCCAGATGTGGATCGAGGATGTGGAGGCCGATTGTTCGATCATGTTCTACAGCACAAGCTCCGACATAGAGATAGTCGCGATCGTGAAGGGCGATCTGAAAGGACAGGAGGGGGTCCCAGCCCGCGTGCACTCGGAGTGCTTCACGGGCGACGTGATCGGGTCAAAGCGGTGCGATTGCGGCCAGCAGTTGCACAAGTTTCTCCGGATCATGAACACGGAGCCTCGCGGGGTGCTGCTGTATATCAAAGGACACGAGGGTAGGGGTATAGGGCTGGCGAACAAGATCCGGGCGTACCACCTGCAGGACAGCGGGGTCGACACTGTCGATGCGAATTTGCAGCTTGGGCTTCCAGTGGACACCCGAACCTACGACGACTCGTTGTTCGTTCTTCAAGACCTAGGTGTCAAGAGCATACGCTTGTTCACGAACAACCCCCTGAAAGTTGGTGCGCTAGCGAAGATTGTGAAGGACGTAGCGGCGTTGCCTTCAGTCGAGAACGAGCGCAACAGGGCGTACTTGCAGACGAAGCGCGAGAGGATGAATCACCGCACCGTTCTAGAAACCTTTAAGTTGCCGCCGCCGGTCTTGGACGTTGCCAAGGCCGTGATTGGCGTGGTCTTCACCACTTGGAACGAGTATTATGTCAAGGAGCTCGTCGCGGCTGCAGAAGCACGGCTGCAGCATGAGGGGGTCCGGAGTACGAAGTTGGCGGTGCCGGGGGCCTGCGAGCTTATTAGTGGAGCGCGCGCGGTCATTCGGCAGACCAAGCCTGATGCGGTTATCGTCATCGGTGTCCTCATTCGTGGCTCCAGCGATATCTACGACGCGACATGCAACGCGGTCATGACTGGACTGACGGAGCTCAACGCTAGCCAGGACACGCCGATCGTCATGGGATTGCTGATGTGTCAAAACGAGGGTCAGGCGCACGATCGGTCGCTTGGGCCGAGCAACCCTGCTAAGGCGTGGGCCGAGACGGCTCTCCACATGGCTTCGTTGTCGGCCATATCCACGCAGGCGGGAGGTTCAGGCACACGATCGGTCGCATGGGCCGAGCAACCCCGCTGAGGCTTGGGCCGACCGGCTCGCCACATGTTGGCCTCATGGCGAGACCAATTCACCCACGCAGTCGGGAGCGTAGAGGCTGCTCTCTGTGTGGCCCTGACGGCGGACGTCGCCACGACGTGCCCTGAGGCGAGTCGTGGTTCCAGCTGCCCGCCGCTCAGACCGCGATGGAGTCGCGAGCGCAAGCTTGATGGGCCTGTTGTCCACCACCAGGGGGAGGGGGTCCTCCTCCTCCTCCTCCTCCTCCTCCTCCTCCTCCTCCTCCTCCTCCTCCTCCTGCTCGTTCTCCTCCTCGTCCTCCACCTCCCCCTCGTCCTCCAACTTCTGGTGGTGGTGGACAACAAGCCCATCGAAGCTCCCGGTGTCCGCGGAGCCTCGGAGCGGGGGCTCCGTGGCCCAAGCGCGGGCGGGGCCTCCGTGCCCCCGCAGCTCCGCAGGACCAAGAGGCCCAGCGCGCGGACGCCACGGCAGGGCCACGCAGAGCGCAGGTTCTGGGCTTGTTTTCCACCACCACCACCACACGTTGGAGGGGGGGGGTCCTCCTCCTCCTCGTCCTCCTCCTCCCCCCCTCCTCCTCCTCCTCCTCTCCTCCTCCTCTCCTCCTCCTCCTCCTCCTCCTCCTCCTCCTCCTCCGGCTGCTCGCCATCCTCCTCCTTCCCCCCTCCAACTTATGGTGGTGGTGGTGGAAAACAGGCTCATCAACAGGTGCAGCGGTCCAGTGGGCGAGCGGAGGGGGGCGCGCGCCGCGCGCCGAAATCCCACACCGAATCGGCGCGATCAAAAGACAGCATCCTCACCGGACACGTGCGTAAGCCCGTCTGAAACGGATCTGTCGGCGGGGGACGGTGACGGGTGTGTTCGCCTCAGCGCCGGGCGCAACGCCAGCCGCATCCTATACGTAGTTCAGTGACGCGATCTCGCCGTAGCGTCGGCCGCATTCATTCACAGCTGGGAATCGTGCTGCCCTCGCCTCAGCGCCAGCCTCAGTCTTCAGCTTGGAATGGCGCTTCCTCCGCGGTGCTGGGCGCATCCCTCATGTAGAATTGGAACATACACAGTCTTGCATGGCCGCCCCACAGGAAGCCGGTGCCACAGTCACTGTCTTCGCGGCCATCCTTCGTCTGATTGTGGAGCGGTCGCTGCGCCCAACGGCTGGGTACAGTCGCCCTTCAGTCACCGCTGGTCCGGCCACCCCTGCTGCACGGCACGTGTGCACTCATCGACGTCGGCACCGACTGTGGCACGCGCGGCCGCGACTCGCCAGGGGGGCGGCGGAGAGCGCAGTGCGCGAAGCGCGCAGCTGGCCGAACGAAGCAGGAGAAGGTCGGCGGCGCGCCCAGGGGGGAGGCAGCGGGGGCGGGCCTTCTCGGAAGCCTCAGAAGGCCGCCGGTCTTCTCAGGAGCTTCCATGCGTGCCACACCGTACACGATGGTATTCTGGAGGCCGCGGCCTCGCTCACCTGGTCTCTCGGTAGGCCCGGACCGGTGCCCGCATTTGATGGTCGTTCGTTCGTTCGTTCCTGAGCCTTCTCCGCAGGCGCAGGCGGTTTTCCGGAAGGCCAAAGGGCCTCTGAGAAGCCCCACCGCCCTGTGAGAAGGCCTGCCGCCTCAATGATCCTCCTCGTCTGGTGTTCGGGTCAGAGCTCGGGTCCCTGGGGGCCGTTCGGGACGATCCAGGCTCTCCCGGAACGCCCTCGGCGAGGCGCATGTGCCGCAAACATCACCCCGAGGCTGGGAATCTCGGGAGCCGTCAAGATTGTTAGAGAACATCGAAGTCAACCCTCGGGACCGCCCCTCCGGGAAGGGCCGCGCCAGACAACATGTGGGCACATCCACCATCCGTATCCAACATCCAAGACATAATGCAAAGATGATCGTGGGCCCGCCGCGCATGTGTTTTTGTTAAACCGCGCAGAGCAATCGTGTTTTTGTTGTCATGGATGGTGGATGGTGGGCCTGCGCACACCAGGCAATATGCTCGCAAGCCCGCCGTCCGTGTGTCAACAAACATGCAAGGTGATCGCAGGGCCTCCGCGCATGGCCCAAGAGTTTTCCGCCAAGCGCACTTTGCATTGTTTCTGTTGCCAGGGGTGGTGGAGGGTGTCGGCATGGTTCCTGGTCGGCCGCCGGTCGAGAGGGGTCGAGGTGCTCATCAAGAAAGAGTAGTGATGCACACCGTCCCCCCAATACGGGAATGAGGTGTCGCCAGGGCCTTGACGCTTCGCCTATCCCCACCAGCCCATCCAGAAACGATGCCCACGAGAGCTGACGGGGGGCGAGGGGAAGAGACGCATAGTCAAACAGCGAGGGAGGCCTGCCTGGACGGCGTGTTGGGGCCATCTCCGGGCCCGCGAGGGGGGGCTGGCGAAGAGGAAGCAAGAGGAGCAAGACGAGGAGAAGGAGGACGAGGATGAGGAGGTCGAGAACTAAGAGAGTGATGATGATGATGATGATGATGATGATGATGATGAGGAGGAGGAGGAGGAGGAGGAGGAGGAGGAGGAGGAGGAGGAGGAGGAGGAGGAGGAGGAGGAGGAGGAGGAGGAGGAGGAGGAAGGAGGGAGGAGGAGGAGAGAGGAGGAGGAGGAGGAGAGGAGGAGGAGGAGTTGAGGAGGAGGAGGAGAGGAGGAAGAGGACGAAGAGGACGAGGGGGAGGATGAGAACGAGGAGGAGGAGGAGGAGGAGGAAGAGGAGGAGGAGGAGGAGGAGGAGGAGGAGGAGGAGGAGGAAGAGGAGGAGGAGGAGGAGGAACATGACGAAGACGAGGACGAAGGATATGGACGAGAACGAGAGGACGAGGAGAGGGAGGATGATAAGGAGGAGGAGGAGGAGGAGGAGGAGGAGAAACGAGAGGAAGGTGAGGAGGAGGGAGGAGGACGAGGACGAGGACGAGGAGGAGGAGGACGAGGACGAGACGGCGTCTTGCGTGCCTCGGGTGAGCTTGGGGGGCCTCTTGGGTGCCTCTCGGGTGCCTCTTGCAGGCCTCTTGGGGCGCTCTTGGAGCTCTCTTGGGGGCCTCTTGGGAGCCCTGGAGCGCCTCTTGGGGCCATCGTCGAGGCGGTCGGTCATCGATGTCTGCCCCCCTCGGGGGCCACGATCCTCGTGAGGGGTGTCAGAAATTAGCCCTCCCAAAGGCCAAAAAAGGACCCTCTGACACATCGGTCCCCCTCCAACAAAAAACGGTGAGGGGAGGGGGAGGGTTCCCCTCCCCGAAGGGACGAAGGGTTGTGGAAGAAAAAAGAGATCAGCCTTAGACCACCTGTCGCCCAAAGGGCTGGTGGGATTTCCTACCGCGAACGTCCTTCGCCATCCCCGTCCTCCACCGAACGTTACGCTCGGCAGGTGCGTCCCTGTTCACCAAGATCATTTTCCAGCCGCCCGATGCCACGTGCCTCCGCCACGGCCACACTGCTGAGCGGCGGGGGGAGGGGGAGGAGAAGGAGGAGGAGGAGGAGGAGGAGGAGGAGGAGGAGGAGGAGGAGATGAGGAGGAGGAAGCAGGAGCAGGTGCAGGTTCAGGTGCAGGGGCAGGCGCAGGTGCAGGAGCAGGAGCAGGAGCAGGAGCAGAAGCAGAAGCAGAAGCAGAAGCAGAAGCACGAGGAGGAGGACCAGGAGCAGGAGCAGTGCAGGAGCAAGAGCAGTTGCAGGAGAGAGGAGGAAACAGAGGAGGTAGGAGAGGAGGTAGGAGGGAAAAGAAGGAGGAGCATGAGGAGGGACGTGGAGTCCTTTGGGGGGCAAAAGAGAAGGAGAAATGACGGATATTGGGTGAGTCCTAGGGGTGTTCAGGGAGATCTAAGGGTTCTGAGTTGGTTGGGGCCAGAGGACCGACCAGAAAACTCTGAGGCTTGAACGACTGCGCATAACGCGACTCAATGCACCCAGAATGCGAGGTCCCTCACGACCACATGCACTTCAAGAACACGTAGAGCAAGAAGAAGCAAGACGCTGTGCCGGATGAGGTCGAGGCACACCGCGGCGGCCGCACGGTGGCGACAGCGGTGGCGTAGGCCTGGAGGCCCCGACGCCCAGCGCCAGCCCCCCTTCCGGGGCCGTCCCGATGGCAGGAGATGGCGCCGTTGGATCTGGCCTGGCGGCAGGGGTGTCCTTCGGCCGCGCCTGGTCTGACGGAAGGCGCCGAGACAAAGGAACCCCGGCCGCACGGCCGCCAGAGGCGCAGGGAATTTCGAGAAGGACCACCAGTTTTAGGTCGGGCACGCCCCTTTGCAGGAGGAAAATTCAAAAATAATTCAAGAATGGTCCGGGGACATTTTTAGAGCATGTTTGGATATGTTTGAGCAGTTTGATGCATTTTTTATTGCGAAGGCCTTGCGGCCGGTGCCGCCGACCCTGAAGGCGGCGACGACGAGGACGACGAGGATGTTGAGGAGCAGGTGGCGGAGGACGCTAGGGAGCAGGAGGGGCGAGGAAAGGAGGAAGAGGTGCGAAGGGGGAGGAGGGGGACGAGGGGGGGTGGCGAGAGGGACGAGGAGGGGAAGACGAGGAGGGGGGGAGACAAGCTAGGTGCGCTCGCGTCATATCTGACATCATACCCCTCCCTCCCATCCCTTACCATGGCGTAGATCCCCTCTCTACTCGCGCAGTCGGATGTCGAGCAGGGCAATGATCCCGAAAGGGTACGCGATGCATTGTAGAGCACGGCATGGCATGGCGTAGAAGAGCACCGCAAAGCGTAGTATCAACCTAGCATTGCATTGCATGCCGTGGCATGGCACGGGAAATGACGCCAGCGCTGCAGCGGGAGCACGAGTCGAAACGAGCGGAAGCGCGGAAATGAGGCCAGCGCTGCAGCGGGAGCACGATTCGGAACGAGCGGAAGCACGGAAATGAGGCCAGCGCTGCAGCGGAAGCACGATTCGGAACGAGCGGGGCCCGAAAATGAGGCCGGCGCCTCAGCGAGAGCAGCATTTTGAAAACAAATGCAAGCGAAAACCCAATTCCCGGGAATCCTGTGTGTAAAAAAACAGTACGCGGGGGGGGGTCGAACCTTCCCAGCACGTCATCAGGGGAAGAGGGAGAGTAGTATTCATATTGAGTAATTGTGCAGGGGGGAGAGCGAGGCGAGCAGGAACGTATTTGCAGGAGAAGGACGGCTGACAAGGAGGAGGGGCAGCGGTGCGTGGCGAGCATGAGCAGCAGGAGAGGGAGGAGGAAAGTAATGGCGCCAAACCGCCCGAGAGGGAGTCGTACCTGCCCAGGGACCCCCCGGGACCCCTCCCCGGGACGCCACCCCCGGGACCCCCCCCCCTCCCCGCGGGGAAGGGATCAAAGGGAAGGGGTTTCCCTTCGATTCAACTACAACGCTTTTCTTGGTCGCCAAACCGCCCGAAGGGGAGTCGTACCGGCCCCTCCCATGGGACCCCTCCCTGGGACCCCCCCGGGACGCCACCCCCGGGACCACCCCCCCTCCCGGCGGGGAAGGGATCAAAGGGAAGGGGCTTCCCTTCGACTCAACTACAACATTGCTGAGACTCGACACCCTCTTCCACACGCCGACAGGGTCGGCGGATTTTTCGTCCAAGATCCTCCTGTAGGAGGACACGCCCGACCTAACACCAGTGTTAACCCTCCCCTCCCGTTGATGTGCATCCTTGACCGGGCAAAGCCCATAGGCAGGTACACAGGGCCAGCACGACGAGCACGACAGAGCGCCACTGCCCGCAGAGACTCCCACCACCGGGAGGTCGGATCCTAGGCTCGGCTCGTTCCCCCCACGGCCGTTGTAAGCAACGAAACGCGAGGAGTTTGCAAGACAAGGAGGGGCCCACTCATGAGCGGTCACCAGCATTGCATCAGGCAGGAAGAAGTAAACGGCCAGTCTCCCACCTCGGTCAAACATGTCAATTGAACTGGCAGTCCTGGAGAGTTAGCCGAAGCAAGGAACAGCCAATCGCAACTGCATGTCATACAGCTTGCGACGTTTCTCTTGTCACTGTAAAGGATGCCGCAATGGCAAGTGGCTCTAGAGTATGTCGAGAGACTTCTAGTCTCGAGCATCGGCGTCTGGAGCAAGCAGAGGGGAGATGGGGGGCAGGGGGATGGGCTACAAGTTGGAGAAGTGGGGAGCGGAGGAGGGGGGGCACGGGGGGAGAATGGGATAAGGAGGGGAAGGAGGGGGAGGGCGGAGTGCGGCGAGGAAGGGGAGGAGGGGGGAGAGGGAAGGGGGATGCGAGGGAAGGGGGGGAGGGAAGGGAGGGGGGGGGGGAGGAGCAGTGGCCGCAGGGGGCAGAGGCCCAGAGCAGGGGCCAGAGAGTAGGGCCCCGACTCCCCTCGATGACCAGCAGCTGCCAACAGCGAGTCGTTTTGGGAGGGAGCTCGGGAGGAGGTGAGGAGGAGAAGGAGCAGGAGGAGGGTGGGGGGAGGGGGGAGGGTTTCTTAGAAGCACCCCTGCTAATTAGAAGGCGAGGGCCTTCTGCATGTACGGCGGGCGCATTCTTAGAAGCACCCCTGCTTCTAAGAAGCCATCCCCCCTCCCTCCACCCCCTTGTGCGCGCCGCCAAGAGGAGGAGAAGCAGCAGAAGGAGGGTGGAGCACCAGGACGTCGCTGGAAGGGGAGGATGGGGAGGACAATTGGAGGCCGCGCGCCGGCCTGCCAGGTACAAGAGGGACGAGAACCTCATCTGGCTGCACACCGCGGAACACGAGGCCAGCAGGGGGCGTAGGTTGATTGGCCCTTCGCCGTGTTGCCCACTGTTTCACATCCCCACTGCACTCTGCGCACATGAACGTATCATGTCTCTGTCTTTCTTGTGTGTAGATATAAATATACAGATGTGTACACCTCTCTCTCTCCCTCTCCTCGCGGCCATCTAACTACTATTCCTCTTTCTCATTTGGCTCGGCCTCGTCTTCCTCCTCCCCCCATACTCCTCGTCCTCCTGCTACTTCTCCTAGTCATCGTCGTCGTCAGCAGCAGCAGCGGCAGCAGCAGCGGCAGCAGCGGCAGCGGCAGCGGCAGCAGCAGCGGCAGCGGAAGCATCAACAACATCAGCATCACCATCACCATCACCAATCTCATCTTGCGTCTCCTCCTCCCCTGTGCCATCATATTTCTCCATCTGATCCTTCTCCTCCTCCTCCTGCTCATTATCCTTTGTGTCCACCTGCTCTGCCAGCGCCGGCCCCTCATACCCCCTCGCCGCGCTGCCTGTCCAGGTGATTCCCGCATTCTTCATCGACCGCGACAAGAAGTTGACGCTGCTGTTCAGCCACGGGCCATGCGCCCCCGACGCTCCGGGCGAGGAGGAGGCGCTGCAGTGGAGGGCGAGGGCGAGGGAGCTCCCTCACAAGCGGCATTCGAGGGGGAGGGGGGAGGGGGGCGAGGGCGAGGGGAGAGGGGCGAGGGAGCTACCTCCAACTCGCTGGTGAGGGGAGGGGCAGAGCGAGGGCACGAAGATGGCCAGACGCGTCGCTGGGATAGGCGTCGTCTCCGCTTCAGCCTTTTGTAGCTCCATTCGTCAGTTGGATCGCATTACCGCCGGTGGCGGCGAGAGAAGAAGAGAGCGCGCGTTGTTTCGCCGGCGCTGGGCGGCGGGGGGAGGGAGGACTCATATTGCCCTCCTGCAGCCGGAGGAGTGGCCGTTCTCCAAACCGCTTCCCTCGAAAAGACGAGGAGGGATAGGGGGAAGAATCGGGAAGAAGGACGGGAATATCGATCACCGTTCAACAAACCCATCTGGAAGTTGTGGCGCAAATCTGTGTGCGTTGTCTGTTTGGTTTGTTTTTGGCGAGTTGGAGCCGTAACGTGTGCCGTGCTCACCCACGATGTGTCGGGGTGTCTTTCCTTGTCCTCGTCGTGGTGCTCCACCTCCCTTCCAGTTGTTTTTCCTCCCACTTTTTCCCCCACTCATCTTCCTGTCCTCCTTGGGGCTCTCATGTGGCCCACTAGAGCCATATCTGTCTTGGGGTCCCGGTGGGTTGTCTTCGTCGGGGGCCTCGTGGGGCACTCTTGGGCCGTCCCTGGGCCCTCTGGGACCCTCTGGAGCCATCTTGGGCCCTTGTCGGCCATCGAGGGGGTCTCCCGGTGCCGTCTTGGGCCTTCACCGCCTCCCTGACCATGCCTGTGCATTGTCTGACGATCCTACGGCTTGGATGCGCCTCGGGCAGGACGAGAGTTCTTTCGGTCACGCCAGGAGAATTGTCCTTCAGGTTTCCCGCTTGTCAGGAAAGATCGACGATGTAAGGAGTTGTTCGGTGTCCTGAGCGAATGTACCCTGGGAGCTTGGATGGGCACAAGGCAGGCGTGAGACGTCTGCGAATCTTCGAAACTGAATCAGGAAGTCTTGGGGGCCCAAGTAAGGATCTCATTTGGGGGCTTCGGCGGAGGCTCTTTTGGGGCGCGCCTGCGCGCGTGCGCGCGCACGTGTCGGAGCGAGTGCGCACATGCACCTGTGCGCGCGCGCGTGGGTGCGTGTGCGCCGAGGCCGAGCCTGCAGACTGGGGGAAGGGGACAGGGAGAGGGGGTGGGAGGCAGAGGGTGAGGGGGAGGAGGCAAGTTAGGTGCGCTCGCGTCAACATCTGACATCCTACCCCTCCCCCCCATCCCTTACCATGGCGCTGATTTTCTCTATCCGCGGACGCGTGTCGTAGCGGACCTGTGGCTCCGCGCGCGTGTGCGTAGTGGGTGGTGGTGCGCGTGCGTGCGTGCGTGTGTGCGTGGTTGTGGTTGTTGTGGTGGTGGTGTGTATGTGTGTGTGTGTGTGTGCGTGTGTGCGCGTGTGCTGTGGTGTGACGTGGTGTGGCGTCTTGGTGGTTTGGTGGTGGGCCAGGTGCGTACGTGCGTGATGGCGGTGGTGGTGGTGGCGGTGGTGGTGTGTGTGTGTGTGTGTGTGTGTGTGTGTGTGTGTGTGTGTGTGTGTGTGTGTGTGTGTGTGTGTGTCTGTGTGTGTGTGTCTGTGTCTGTGTCTGTGTCTGTGTCTGTGTCTGTGTCTGTGTCTGTGTCTGTGTCTGTGTGTGTGTGTCTGTGTCTGTGTGTGTGTGTGTGTGTGTGTGTGTGTGTGTGTGTGTGTGTGCGTGTGTCTGTGCGTGTGCGCGTGTGATGTGGTGTGACGCGGTGTAGCGTGGTGGTGGTGGGTGGGGTAGTGCGGTGGTGGTGGCGGTGCGCGGTGGTGGTGCGCGTGCGTGCGTGCGTGCGTTGGTGGGTGGAAGTGGCGGTGGGTGTGCGTGCGGCGGGGCGGGGCGTGGTGCGGCGCGGTGGTGGCGGGCGGATGGGCGCGCGAGAAAGAGGCCCGCGCTGGGGCGAGAACGCCATCCTGAACGACGGAGGCAAAACACCGATCCGAAAATGAGGCCCACGCTGCAGTGGGAGCACGATTCGGAACGATTCGGGAGCAGAAATGAGGCCGGCGCCTCAGCGAGAGCAGCATTTTGGAAAAAAAACGCAGGCGAAAACCCAACTCCCGGGAATCCTGTGTGTAAAAAACAGTACGCGGGGGGGGTCGAATATTCCCAGCACGCCATCAGGGGAAGAGGGAGAGTAGTGTTCATATTGAGTAATTGTGGAGGGGAACGGGACGGGGGGAGGAAGAGAGGGAGGGAGGGGAGGGAGAGGGGGGGGGAGGGGAGATGGGGGGAGGGAAGAGGAGGCGAGGGAGTGGGGATAGGAGGGGATGGGAGGCGAGGGGAACGGGAACGGAAGGCGGCGGCGGAGGAGCGGGCGGGGGGCGAGGAGGAGCCCTTGTGCGCCTTGGGTGCTGGTGCCTCAGTTGTGTCACCGCGGGCGCTGTTTGTCGGTGGATGCGCGCATCGGAAGCGGCACGTCCGCTTGGAGTGAGTGCGCGTAGCCCCAAGGGTGTGGCCGCTTGTAAAGGGTGGGGTGCGCGTGATCGCCCGCGTTGCGCGTGGCGCTGAGTGAAGCGAAAACAGAAGTACGGGTCGTGCTTCGATGACTTTGAAATCCGGCCCGTCCTGGACGCGCCATGTGAATTAGCGGAGGCGGTGGTCTCCATGGTGGTCAATCGAGGATGTCGAGAATGATGGCCTTCTGACGGGATTGCGGAGGGCGTTTCGCGTAACCCCGCCAGCCCATCCAGAAAGGATGCCCGCCCTGATCAGGGTATGGGGGAGCATGCAGTGGAATACTGCGCTGGGTAAGACGTCGTACCCCAAGAGGTGGAGGATGGAGGAGGAGCCGGAGAAGGAGGAGTAGGGAAAGGAGGAGCAACGATGAGGAACATGCCGATGAAGAAGATCCCTTGGGGCCATCGTGGATGAGATCGACCAAAGGAGGGGAGCTCTTTAATATGCCCGCCCCCCAAGGAAACCAACATGTGACTAACACCTTACTACAATCAATCATGTTGACCTTCTCGCCGTTGTCATCTTGGACGCTCCAAAGCCTCGCGGAACGCCACGTCCAGGTCCAGGGGGAGGCCGTAGGGGGGGGAACCCTTCAGCGAAGGGGAATGTGGGGATTGGAAGAGGGAATTCCCTGAACCACTCACGCCCTGATGGGCTTGTGGGATTCACGTTTTTATGAGTTTCTGAAATGCGCGACTCTGAGTGTGAGTGAGATTGGCTACGGCTGACAGTGCAACTCGGTCTGATTGTAAGTGTGTCTGGGCATGGCTGTGTATCCCCTGGCGGATTCCACTTAAGCTATGCCTGCTGCATCGCAGTGGTTATTGGGCTCTGAAGGGGGGGGAGTCGGGGGGATGCAGAGCCAGCATTTCGCTTGAGACGTCCCCACGATCTGGGCGCAAGTGGGCAAGTGCCCTAGCCCCTGGCGCCCCCCCTGCTTGAGGGGGGAGGCGAAATAGGCCAGCCGCATCGCGGTGATCATGGGGCTCTGAAGTGAAAGGGGGTCGGGGGGCCAGACGGACGGGTCGCTCCAGGCATCCCCGCAATCGGGGCGCGAATGGGCATGTGCAGGGTGCCCGGGTTGTGCTTGCTACATTGCGGTGATCGTTGTGTTCCGAAAAGGAGAGGGATCGGGAGCGCAAACAAGTGTGTCGCTCGAGACATCCCCGCCATCGGGACGCGAACAGGCAGGTGCAACACCCCGTGGCGAATCTCCCCCCTTCGGAGTGTTCACATGTTGTGCCTGCTGCATCGCGATGGCGTTGACCATGCGGCTGAGAAAGGAGAGGTGTTGGGCGGGGGGGAGGGGGGGATGGGCTTGTTTTCCACCATGGAGGGGGGAAGGAGGAGGAGGAGGAGGAGGAGGAGGAGGAGAAGGAGGAGGAGGAGGAGGAGGACGAAGAGGAGGAGGAGGAGGAGGAGGAGGAACACCTCCCCCTCCAACTTATGGTGGTGGTCAGGGGGGGCAGGGAAGCGAGCGTTTCGCTGGAGACCTCCCCGCAGTCTGGACGCGAACGGGCTAGGGTAAACTACCACCATGGCGGCTCCCCCTTGGGGCGCCCGGGAATTCTGCCTGCCACATCATCGCCACTGACAGGCGAGGAAACCGGGCGGTTCGCGCGATGCATGCTCGCAATCTGGGCGCCAATGGGCAAGTGTAGCACCCCTTGGCGGCTCGCCCTGAGGGCACCCTTCTGCAATTTCTGCCACATCGCGGTGGTTGCGATTGAGTCTGAGTGCGAGGAGCGAGTCTGAGTGGGCCTGGGTCTGCGCGACAGGGTGTGGATATGTCTGTGCGTGAGTGAGTCCGGGTATGCCTGAGCCTGGTTCAGGGAGTGCGAGTGATCTGCGCGTGAGTCTGAGTATGACAAAGATGAGCATCATTTGATCAGCAGGAGGGGCCAGCGCCGTCCAGCAGCCTGTATTCTCTAGCTTCGATCGACGACAACCTCATCGACCTCAAGCAATCGATGTCGATCGATCTCGATCCTCCATCGAACGACGGCTCTTCGAGCTCGCATTCTCGATCGATCGCCGGGGACGTCATCGACGACGGCGGCTGCGACGTCGCGCGCGCGCGCTCGGCGTTGGCGCGGCCCCCCGAAGCCGCCCCGCGCGCGCAGGAACGCCGAGGACCTCGGCATGATCATCCAGCGCCGCCCCACCCCGCTCCTGCTCACTCCTCCTCATCACTCGTCCTCCTCCATTTCCTCCTCCGCCTCCTCTTCCTCCTAGGTGTCGACGTCCTGTCCTGTCCTGTCTTCTTCCCTCTCCTCCTCACTCCTCCTCCTCACTCCTCCTCTTCCTCCTCCTCACTCCTCATCCTCCTCATCCTCACTCCTCCTCCTCCTCCTCTTCCGCCTCCTCCTCCTCCTCCTTCTCTTCCTCCTCCTCCTCCTCCCTCTTCTCCTTTTGCATTCCGTCTCCGTGTGAATAACTCCTCCCTGTCGCACCCCGAGGCCAGTCGGAAGGGCGGGCCGGGCGTTTCGCTTAAGTTGTTCTTCCCATCTATGAGCCTGAAGCTTAAACATTGACAGTTTCACAGATGGAGGGCGGGTCGGTTTCAAAACGTGACTCGCCACAGCGCCGCGCACATTCGTTTTAAACATTTGCCACATATTCACGGATTCAGGACAGGTCGTGCTCTCCTTATCGCCGCGCACATTCGTTAAACGATTTGCAAGAGCTTCACGGATTGAGGACAGGTCGTTTGTGAACAGTTGTTCTTGCCTTAGCGCCGCGCACATGTGTTTTCAATATCCGCTACAGCTTCACGGATTGGGGCCAGCTCGTTTTTACATTGCGGTTCTTGTTTTAGCGCCGCGCACATTTGTGATAACATGTTTTATGAGTTCTGTTGCGTCTCATGGCTAACATTCCAGACAGTGCATTTTGGAACAATTCAGGCCTGTCAGGGCACAACTGTTACGTTGGTTCGCGGTGTCGAAGTCCAAGGTATGGCGTTCGGGCACTATTCAGGGTCATCAAGACGCAACAGTCAGTTCTATTCGTGGCGTTGAAGTCCTGAGATTGGTGTTGTGGCATGCGTCAAGATTTTCACACGGTTGTCCCCCAACGGCGCCTTCCTCTCAGTGGAAATGATCTTTTGGAGGGGCTTGTGAAGAGGGAGCTTGGAGGGAGGGTGTATTCCAAGATCGTTGATGAGTCTTAGGCTTACACTGGTCACTTCTCCTCCTCCTCCTCCTCCTTATCATCATCATCATCATCATCATCATCATCATCATCATCATCATCATCACTCCTCCTCACTCCTTCTCCTCCTCCTCATCCTCTTCCACATCCACATCCTTACACCTCCCCCTCCTCCTCCCCCTCCCCCTCCTCCTCCCCTCCTCCTCCCCCTCCTCCTCCCCCTCCTCCTCGTCCTCCTTCTCCTCCTCTTCCTCACTTCCTCTCAACTACTCCGCAGCACGCTTCCTCCTCCTCCTCCTCATCATCATCATCATCCTCCTCCCTCCTCCTCCCCCTCCCCTCCCCTCCTCCTCCTCCTCCTCCTTCTCCTCCTCCTCCTCCTCCTCCTCCTCCTCACGCCTCCTCCTCCTCCTCACGCCTCCTCACGCGCGGGGCTGCCCTCGTCGTCGTTGTCACCGCCGTCGTCGGCCTTCGGCGGCCTCCGGCGCCGTGCACAGGCCCTTAGACATTAGAGGCCCTCAGCGGCCTTTGGAAGCGAGGATTTTCGGCGGGCTTTGGTGGCCTCGGCACGGGCGCGGAGGACGGCGGCATCGCCGTCGTCGCTCTCATTCTCACCGTGCTAGCTGCCGCGCCGCGCCGCGCTGACTCATATCCTCCCCCATCCTCCTCCTTGCCGGCGTCGTCTCACCGACGCCTCTGTCTCTGGTCTCCGTCTCCGGCGGCGTCCTCCCTAGCCCTTCGTCCTGGGGGCACTGCGGGTATTAGAAAGGTCAGCCATACAACACCCCAACATACTTATACTATATGTGCGTCGCCCCCCCAGGGGCGACGCGCGCACCGAGAAATCTTATAGTACATGCGTCATGGCGGGCGCTTTCTGGCCACACCGCTCGGGAAACGATATACTACAAGATGGGTATACTATATGTTCGGGTCGGACGCGCGCCTCCAAGGAGGACATATAGTATTAGTATGTCCATGTGCGTCCCAATACAGAGCACAGCTGGCGGGCCCAGAAGGTCAGTGGCGAAGCATGAGATCCCCCAGGCCAGCTTCTTTCAAAGCCTGTGGGGAGTAAGCACAGCATGTGGCGACATTCTCCCCAGTCTCCCAAGCCTCCCCCCCAAACCTCCCTCGCCGTCGTCGCCCCCCAGTGTCGTCGCCCCCTCGCCGTCGTCGCCCCTCCTGGCCTCTGGTCTCCTGCGTGTCCGGCGTCGTCCGCCCCAGCAGCCCCGACAGTGAACCCGCATAGTGAGGATGAGCAGCTTTCCAAGGCCACCCTTGTAGCCTTCCCCTTCGGCCCATCCTTGACCGCTTTCGCTGGCCGCGCCCCACCCGCAAAGCGTCGAAATTGCCTGCCAAGGCCCTTGCATCTTTCTTCGCGCGTCCGTACTAGATGGGCTGACTGCAGTCTCCCTGGTCCCTCTACGCTTAAGTCGGGCCTGTCCCTCTATAGGAGGAAATTTCAAAAACTGGAAAACAATAGTCTGGGGACGATGTCTCGGCTATGTTTGACCATTTGGGAGTATGTTTTGGGGTAGTTTCTAGTTTTCGTCCGAAATCCCACTGTAGGGGGACGTGCCCGACTTAAATCGAAGCATCCTTTATCATCCCCCTCGCCGCCGTCGGCTCCCGGCGGGCGCGGCGGCCCGCGAGGTACTTCCGCGAGGTGAGCCACATCCTGGAGGCGCGCCGGCTCGCGCCTCGGGGCGCGGCGCCCGCGGCAGGAGCGCCGCGCGAGCGGGGCAAAGGGCAGTGACCAGGAGCGGGAGGAGGAGGAGGAGGAGGAGGAGGAGGAGGAGGAGGAGGAGGAGGAGGAGGAGGAGGAGGGGAGAGGGAGGAGGGGGAGGAGGGGAGGAGGAGGAGGAGGAGGAGGAGGAGGAGAGGAGGAGGAGAGGAGGAGGGAGGAGGAAGGAGGAGGAGGAGGCGGAGGAGGAGGAGTGGGGAGAAGGACGTGGTGGAGGAGGAATGCGGGCAGGAGGAGGAGGGGCGAATGATGTTCGCGAGGCTGACCACAACGACGAGATCGCTGCGCAGCGATGCGTCAGACAGGAGAGGACGACGACTACGACGGCGAGGCGGAGCAGGAAAAGGATCAGCAGCAGCAGCAGCAGAAGGCGGCGGTGGAGGGCACGGGCAAGGGCGGGGATCGGGAGGAGGGGGATGAGGACGAGAGGGCGAAGGAGAAGGAGGATGAGTGAGAATGAGGGGGAGGGCAGGATGAGGAAGAGGAGGAGGAGGAGGAGGAGGAGGAGGAGGAGGAGGAGGAGGAGGAGGAGGGACGAGGACGAGGAAGAGGAGGACGCAGGACGAGGGCGAGAAGGAGGGTGGCACGCCCTTCCTCGCCCAGTGCCCACAGCACTCCGCGGGGTACAGGTCAACATCTTCGCCTACGAGCGCCCTGCCGCTGCGACTGTGGCGGCCTCACGCGCGCGCGCGTGCGCGGAGCGCGGCGGAGATGACGACAACGACAACGGCAACGGCGACGGCGACGAGGACGACGACGACCATGACGACGACAACGACTGCTGCGACGACGACGACGACGACGACGACGACGACGATGAGGACGACTGCCACGAGGGCAGCAAACGGCAGCGGCGACGGTTTCGTCGACGGCGGCTTTAAAGGGGGGCCGACGACGGCGGCGGCGGCCGCGGCGGAGGCGCCAACAGCGGCGGCTGCGACGACGGGCGCGCTGTCTGCCCGCTCGGCGGGCCTGGCCGGAGGTACACTGGGTACGGCATGAGCACCGGGGAGCCGCATGAGCAGGCGCCTTTTTACGAGAGTGGGGTGGGGGGAATCTGTGGATGGCGCGGGTCGCGCCGACCCCGCCCTCCATCGCCTTGCGTCACTCGCTGGCCCTTCTCCCCGTCCCCGGCCTCAGCCTCGGCCTCCTCCCCTACCTCGTCGATCCCAAACCTCTGGCCCTGCTTCGTGTGCTCTGCCAGCGTCTCCTCGCGCGCCCCCCTCATTCTCCGCCCGTTCGTCCCCTCGTTCGTCGTATTCCTTTCCCCCTCCCCTGCTCCTCCCCGTCCCCATCCGCCTCCGAATCATCGTCCTCCTCCTCCTCCTCCTCCTCCGCCTCCTCCTCGGAGACGGTCAGCGCGAGGCTCGCTCCCCGAGGCCCCTGCCGGCGCCATCCCCCTCCCGTCTTCGCTCCCCCCCCCCTCCCGGAGGGGAGGGGAGGAGCCAGGAGGAGGAGGAGGAGGAGGAGGAGGAGGAGGAGGAGGAGGAGGAGGAGAGGGAGACGGAGGAGCAGAGCAAACGCGAGATGCGTCAGCGACGTCCACGCCAGCTCCTCGTCGGCGGTCCGAGCCCCGCGCCTCCGGTCCCTACTCGGTCGTGTTCACGGCGCGAGCGCCCCGCGGGCCCGCAGATCGGGCGGGAGGAGCTCCGCTCTGAGAGAAGGCGCCCCCCATCGTCCGAGCTAGACTTGAGTCGGGCGTGTCCCTCTACAGGAGGAATATTCAAAAATAACTGTAGAAAATTAGTACGGGGACGATGCTTTGATCATTGTTGGCTTTTTGGGAGCAGTTCTCGACTGTTGTTTTATTGTTCGTCCTCCATCCGCCTGTAGGGGGACATGCCCGACCTAAAGGTAAACGGGATGCGGCAACGTGGCACTTTCAAGCTCAAGCAGGTGCCTAGCGAAAGCCCCGCTTGAAAGAAACCACCCTCCGACTTTGTAAATGTTGAACATCAGAGGCGTAATTTTCCCACTGTTAGTTTGAAACAAGTTGTGGGTGGAAGAAAACCAAGGATGTCCGCCTGGGCCCCCGTCGGAGGAGCGGAAATGCGAGCGCAACGGCGCGCGCGGCCACGCGCGACCCGCCGCTGGTAATGACGTGAATGTGCGGGCGTCGCGGCGCCGACGGCGATGACGACCGCGGCAACGGCGACGGCGGCGACGACGAACGTCGCGGCGACGGCGCCGACAGGGCCCAGACCCACGGGCGAACATGCGCCCCGCCCTCGTTCCTGGAGTCCCGCCCCAGATTGTATGAGGAACGGAATTCCCGCACGCAGTTTTACCCCAGCCGTGTCTCCACTTTATTCAAGATTTGTTTTGCTTTAGTAAAACGTCCCTTTTTGATTGTATCGAGCGGCGCGCCTTTACTAAAACCGCCTTCTCGTTGTAGTAAAAGCAGCTTCCTCGCTTTAGTAAAGCCGCTTCCTCGCTTTAGTGAAGTCGCTTCTTCGCTTTAGTAAAGGCCGCGGTCTGCCTTGGTAAAGCCCTGGGGGTGCAGGGCCAGGGCCCGGTCGGGGGGCGGGGGGCTCTTGTCTTCCCTTCTAGTTCACCCCGCGATGCACTTGCTCGAGTAATCAGGTTCGCGTTGCATCGGGTCGCAGCGATCCTTGGACATGCTGTCCGCCAGTTGTAGATGCTCCTTTTCAGGAGCTTCATGGCGCGAGCGCACGGCGTGGCTCGGCAATTCGGACGCGCCGCCGCGGCTGTCGCGCAACAGGGCAACAATATTGTACTGAATGGCTCATTTCAGTTTGGAAATAGCTCCTTCAAAATAATGGTGTGATTTTTCCGCTTCCAAAAACAGATTGTTGAGCTTCGCGTATCCCCGGGCCCACCAGGCGCTTGTTTTCCGCAGTTGGTGACATAGCCTGCCCCTGCTCGCCCGGCGTTCGAACCGTTTCGCGCGCCCGCGTACCACAAACATATCCCCACCAACCCATCCAGAAACGATGCCCAGGTGAATTGCGCGGCGCAGGGAAGTGCAGAAAGAAACAGTGGAACAAAGGCGGGGCGCGGCCGTCAAGCCGAAGCTTGGGACCAGCCTGAACAGGCTCACGAGCACCAGGAATGCCATCTATCGACATGAGAGAGCCTCTGGGCAGCTCCCTTGAGCCATCGTGGGCCATTTGGGGAACCGTTGGGACCCACTTGGGCCCCTCTTGGGGCCCTCTTGGGGTCCTCTTGGGAGCCTTGGAGGCCCTGTTGGGGCAATCTGAAGGGATCGCCGAGAAGTTGCGTCCAACAAGTTGCCCTCTTGGGACCATGGTGGGACGCTCTTGGGCGCCGGGCGTACAGTGTTTAGCGATACGTGTTGTTTATAGTAATTGTGCTGTTTTTCTTCGCTCGAGTTTCCAACGCTCCTGGACAGTTCGAGAGGTGTTCAGTATCGCCCCAAAACGGCCACGAGGCTCCCAACAAAGCTTCGTACGGCCCCGAGCAGCCCAGGAAGCCGGGAACGCGACAACACCGGGAACGCGAACGCGAAATGGTTTACAAATGATTGTGGGTTGGGGAGCGCACTTCTCATCTGATGTATGGGGATTGTGGCGTCGGGAGCGCGAACGCGGCGTGATTTTCGAGGGGGCGTGGCTTCGAATGCACAAACCTGTACTCATGTACTCGGGGGTGTGGATTCGGCAGCGCGAAACCAGATTTCCCAAATTGCGTAGTTTAGCGCGTTCGAACGTATCATGGTTGAGCATTGTGGTTTGGGTCGAGCGCGAGCGCAGCGGTATTCACGAAAGACCCGCGTCGTTTGCGCAATTTGTTGTCGCAGTGCACCATTAGTCGGGGCCTCGGGAGCGCGAGCGCGTCGTGATTCACGGCTCCGGGAGCGCGAGTCCGTTGTCATTTGCACGGGGTTGTGGTTTCGGGAACACGAGCCCGTGGCAACGTAGAAAAGATGGTGGTTTCGTGGGGGATGTGGTTTCGGGAGCGCGAATTCTGCTTAGTTGGCGAAGGATTGTTGCCGCCTCGTGGGCGCAAGCCCGTTGTAATTTACGACGAGTGTGTTTTCGGGGGCCCAAACTTGGTATAGTCTAGTGTGTCTCAGCGCCCCCCAGAAATTCAGAACCACGTGGTTCTGGAAGGGGAGACGGATGGATTTCGGCCCAGCGTTTTGCCGCGGATTTCCACCACTTCCATTTCACACGATCTCCCCCCCCTCCAGCCTTTGATATGTATAACCTTGCAAGCCGGAATGTTGGGGCTGTTATGCTGAACAGGAAAGCTTACGTCTCGCAGATTGTTGGCCAGGAAGGCAGCGGATTCTAGGCCTGAGTATCGTAGGGGGCGGGGAAGACGTAGGCGAAAAGCCCAGCTTGTCCTAACGACACGTCGCGTGGTGCGGCAAAAAGGAATCTTTTTGAGGAAATTGGGCGGATCAGGAGGAGAAACAAACAGAGGAGGAGGAGGAAGAGGAGGAGGAGGAGGGGGATGAGGAAGAGGAAGACGAGGAGGAGGGAGGAGGAGGAGGAAGAGGAAGACGAGGAGGAGGAACAGGAGGAGGAGGAGGAGGAGGAGGAGTTAGAAGAGGGAGGAAGGGGAGGATGGAGGAGCCCATCAGGATGGCGAGGCGTTGGGAGGGAGAGGGGAGGTGGATGGAGGAGGAGAAGGAAGAGGAGGTCCCAGGAGGAGAAGAGAAGAGGAGGAGGAGGAAGAGGAACCGCTCAGACCAGCCTGCGCACGCGTGCCCACCCCCGCTGTCCTGCACCCCCCCTTGGGGTCGGGAGGTGGCGCGACCCGCGCGCGCGGCCGCCCGGGCGGCCCCCGCCCGCCCCCGCAGGCCACGTACGCAGACATCGAGGCTGGCCACGCGGGAGGTTCGGCAGTGTCTCGCGGGAGTTTTGTGCTCGTGGGCGGGAAACATACACAAGCCGGTCGTTGAATGCAGGCATTTTTGGACTCCCAGATCCCAATCTGCTTCAAGCGCCGTCCTCCTTCAAGAATCGGTCTGCTTCTGCTGCGTTGTGTTATTCTCTGGGGGGGCCTGAACCCAATCTACTTTATCCGCCTTGCTACTTCATGTGTTTACCGACTTCTTCCGACAGACGTGTATCCGTATCCGCGGCCTCGCGGGCCGGGCCTTTGGGCCGCGACCCCGCGGATACGGGCGTTTTTGTTAGTGGATGCCCCGCACGGCTCGCATCCGTGCGACCCCGTACCCACGGGATCGTGCCCAAAAATCGAGACCGCGAGGGCGCGATTACGGATGTGTTCGCCTCTCGTAATGCATGTCTTCGACATTACCTCTTTAGAGTGCATTGGTGTGTGCTGGCGTCTGGCAATCGAAGAGAAGGCGCCCATTTAGTCGACTGGCGTCGATTTAGCATCTATTAGCGTCGGTTGGCGTCCTATGAGCTCACCTTCTCTCGAAGAAGAAGAGAGACGGCATGAGCATAAACTTTCGGAGGTCTGCGCAGAATTTCTGGATCGGCTTTGCCCCCCCTCCGCCCCTGACACGCTCCGCGCGCCAGAAAGGAGACCCAGCGCCGATCCAAGCAATCCGCGGGGATCTCCGAACGTTGATGTTTTTGCCGTTTTGTGATCTCTACTCGTGTAGCGAAACAGTCACGACGCGGGGGGGGGGTAGGTCTGCTTCTGGGGGCGCTCACCAGGCCCTGGGACTCAAAGAACGAATCGGGATGAAGAGCCGGTCCCGGGGCGGGGATCTAGACCTTTGGTGTCCGCGCTGCGCGAAAAACACGACGTCCGAGACCTGCGGAGGGAAGGGGGGTCGTGGAGGAGTGAGGTGTACACATGAGGTTTCTCTTCGCTTCCGGGCTCCCGGGGCCTCTCCACGCACCCCCCCTTCCGTCCCCCCTCCCCGTCCCTTTCCCCGCTCGTCGCCCTCGCTCGCTGCCACGCCGCCGTCGTCGCTGTCGCCGCCCGTGCGCCACTCCTCGGGGGGGGGGGGCTCGGGCTGCCCTCTCGCTGCCTCTCGCTCTGCCTCTCCGCGTCGGGCCTCGGGTGGCGCCGGCTGTCCGCCCCCTGCGCCGATCCTGGCCACGCCGTGCCCCCCGACCGACGCTGTGTGC